GGGGGTGGGGGTGGGGGTGGGGGGGCGCCACCGGGGGGAAGTGAGGGGGCTACTGCCATCTGGTGAAAGACGCCGGGAGCGAAACGCCGTGCTGGCTGGAACGTCCTTTTCAGCAAAGCACTGGCTCTTAAAGCGCAGTGCTTAGGCGGTGACGTGCAGGCGTCGCCTAGCCATCGTGCTAAAGGCACGTTCTGATTCGGCGGGTCTGGACTGGGCTCTGCGGGCCCGCATTTCTGTCCCGCTCCCAAGTGATGGTGACGGCTGCTGTTCCACGGAGTAGCCGAAGGAGGTGTTTTCGTTTCTAGTTTTGTTTTGTTTTGTTTTGTTTTTTGCTGGAGGGAGGGGAAAGGATTGCTTTCATTACTTTGTTAAATTACAAATTATAGAGTTTTCTAATTAATGAAAGATGTTATGTTATGGTACTTAGAAATATCCTTCCTGGGTATCTTCTTGCTTTTGAAGAACAAAGGCAGTTATGACCAGTCGCCTTCATTCATGTTTCTTCTATCTTCCTGCAATAAATACCCTTTCCACTGTCCCCTCCTAACATCCCGTCTCATTCCAGGATAACTGGGCCTACCAAGTCTATATAAGGGAAGTACGAACATCTGATTGGGACATGAGTGAAAACATACATGTACTCTCAAATCAATTGAAAATAGGTATCTCAGTGATTTCCAACCTATTTTTTCAAAACATCACTCCTCACTACTCACCTTGTGGCCTTCCATATTGCAGCCAAAGTCACTTTATGTTTCTGTACAAAGCCTGTGTTTTCCTCCCACTGCATCCTTGTCCTTGCTGTTGTCTCCACCTGTAGAGCCCTTCCCTCCTGTGCATTCATTCATGCTGGAGCTTTACCTGTCCCACCCTTATGGCACAAATGATTTTAACAAAATACTCAGCCTATATCAAGCACCTGCTAGAAACTGTAGTAAGTGCTGGAGATACATGAAAGATGCGTCCCTTTTGTAAATGTCATGTTTTTCCCTGTTGAGGCAACGGCCATCTCTTGCATGGCTCTGCAATTCTCAGGCTCACTTCCATACCACTCACATCCACTTACATGAATGAACAAATGGCTTCATGAACACACCTCCGGAGCAGTAAGCATGGATACCCTGGTGAGTATTGGTAATCTCTCAACAACCCAGCTGATGAGGCACTAGAGACATGACAATTTAATTCTCATTCTTTTATCTGAAAATTTAATTCTCCTCACTTTCTGGCTGCCAGCAAGATTCTTTGTACATCTTTCCCAACACCACACTCTTTCCTCTCCTCCTTCCATTTGATTCAAAAAATGAAAATTTTAGTATCAACACAAAATGCAAATGTTACCTTCTTTTTCTTCACTAAACGAGAGAGATTCCAATCTGTTTCTCTAAACCAGTTTCTGAGAAGATAGACACCAGCAACTGCCTACATTGAAAATAGGGATTACATCTCTCTTCCACCTCATTTTTTCAAAACTCACTTAGCCCCGCCCCACAGGAAGTCAGGAAAAATAATGAATTTTGACGGTGCAGAGCAGGGATAGAACTAAGTGAATCACATTTCTTATATGAAAGAAAGAAGTAAATTAATCATATTTGAAAGCATATATAAAAACTGCAAAGCCCTATAGAAATGTGAAGTGTTGATTGAACTCAGGACATTTTGAACCAATGCTGTAATAAAAGTGGCAGTTTGCAAATGGTGAATTCCACTTTTCAAATGACTTATCAAAGGCAACATAGGGTGGTGATTAAAGTCAAGGACACAGAAGTCACGTCATGGGTGCTTCGGATAGCCTCAATGAATGTTAGCTCTCTTTTTTTTCTCCAAAGATAGCTGGCCAATATGGAAAGGGATATGAACCCAACATGCATTCTTGCCCCAAGGCAAGGTAAATTGGAGAAATCACCACCACCCAGGATAGAATTTCATTATCACAAACTCAGAACCTGATTTGTCAGAGCGTAGGTGAGTAACAAACACTATCGTTCTGGGCAGACTCATATGAATTGAATCACAAAAAAAGATGCTACAACTAGAATGTTAGCTCATTATTTTATAGGGAAAATTATCTTCAGAAACGACCACCATTCACATCCTCTAGTCACTGCACTCTCTCCAGAATATAAACTACCTATCTGGTTGTTTAATGAGCCCAGAATCAGAAGAGTTGTTGATTAACAACACACGATTCCAGCATTTACTGGCATCAGGCTAATATAGTCTCCCCAACATTTGAATTAATCTGCAGATTCAATGCAGTGTCAATCAAAAGAGCAGAGTTGGCAAGCAGATCCTAAAGCTTAAATGGAAATGCAAAGGATCTAGAATAGCCAAAACAATTTGGGGAAAAAAAAGATTTTTTTCTTAATACCTAATTTTAACAATTATTAGACAGATGTACAATTATTGTCAAGCTACAGTAATCAAGAAAGTGTCACACTGGTATAAAGATAGCTATGAAGACCCATGGAATAGAACAGAAAACCCAGATAGACTCACACATATGCAGTCAATTTTCAATGAAGATGTCAAGGAAATTCAAGGGGAAATGGATCATCTTTTCAACTAATGGTACTATGTTAACTGAATATTCCTGTGGGGGCAAAAAAAATGAACCTGATGTTTACTTCACACTATATAGAGTAATTAACTCAAAGTGGACCATAGACCTAAACGTAAGAACTATAACTCTAAAACTTGTAGAGGAAAACACTGGAGAAAATCTTTACTGTGGAGGAAAATCTATGCATTTTACATTTAGCTGCATCCCCTACCACATAGTAAAATGTTAATTATAGCATGAAATTTGGCTCCTACCTAGCACCATACCCAAAAATCAACTCCAACAGGATTGTACTTCTACGAAGGGAAGGTGAAACAATGAAGTTGTCTAAGAGGAGACCTGGAATTAAGCCTCAGTTCTTCAGTAGTTCAGGTGTGTAACCTCTCTTTATTTGTCAAAATAAGGGATTAGACCAGGTGATTTCTAAATTCCTTTATAGGTCTTAAATTCACAATTCCAAAATCTGCATTCATCCTTCTTCACACAGTCTAGAAATGTATCCTATAGAATAATAGAAGTTCATAAATATACACGTCAATTGCAAAATTGACAGCCTAAATGTACACCATCAGAGACTAAATGAATGATTGAACGTCCAAGCAATGGAATACTAGGGAATCATGAAAAAAAGCTAGATCTTTATATTTTGATACATAAGGTGTACAGGATAAATTACTGTTTCTTTTTTAAAAGCAGATTACAGAATAGTAAAAGATGGAAATATTATGATCTCCTTTATGTAAAAAATATCAATAAATACTTCTTGATTACCTATTATATAGAAGTCACTGGGCTGGACACAGGGAAACAACAGTGAGTAAGACAGGCATTTTAGTGGTAAATTCAGACCAAAAAAAATTACACATGACTATTGATGCCATGAAGAAAGAAGAGGGTGGGAGAGTGACCGCAGAGGGTCTTGTTTCAGTTAGGGTGGTCGAAGGACGTCTCTCTGAAAAGGTAGCATTCAATCAGAAGCCTGAATCATGTCAGAGAACAGTCTGTGCAAAGAACGAGGTGTCAAGCGCACCAGGCAGGGGAAACAGCCAATTCAAAGGCCTTTAGCCCGGAAAAGGTACCCGAGGAACAATGTGAGCAGCGCCAGCGCCGCTGCAGAGGGGTTCGAACGGGGGCCAGCGGCCGCTTGCAGAGCTGAGAACTCAGGCCTTCCCGTGCCGAGGCAAACCCTGGAAGGTCTGAGCAGGGCACTGACCCCACGGGCGATCTGAAAGGCTCCCCAGGATGCTACAGGCGGAGCGGATTTTGCAGGAGCTAGAATGGAAGCCAGAAGGTCGGCCCTGAGAGGACACACGGCCGAGGGTGGAATCCCCGAAGGCCGCTGTCCGTGCACAAATTTAGATTGCTTGCGGAGTTTCAAAGGAAGCGCGCCACAGTGCTGGGGAAAAGGTGATTCGTGTTCCCGGAGTAGGTCAAATGAGTCGTTTGCAGCGGTGACGCAGACTGGTCAGCCAGGACGCCAACGCCCCGGCGGGGCTCTCCGAAGCCGCAGGCGAGGCCTCCTCGCGGGGGCGCCCTAGTCGCCCCCGCCAGCCGCACCTCCCCGCCGCGCCGCCGGAAGTGCTCTCCCGACCCGCCGCGCCACTCCGCGGGAAGATGGCGCAGGAGGCCGGCGACATGGAAGACGGGCAGCTCTCCGACTCGGATTCCGACATGACGGTGGCACCCAGCGACAGGCCGCTGCAGCTGCCGGTGAGTGTGCAGAGGGCGGGTGGTTCTGGGCCGGGCGCGCGGAGCCCGGGTTGCGAGGGGCGGGCGGCGGCGAGGCCGAAGGTGGGCTTGCGCCCCGGCCTGGCGCGCCGAGCCCGTGAACGGTGCGGGGCGGCGGGCCCTACGAGCCCGGCCCGGCTTCTCGCCGCGAGGCGGGCCTGCGAGGCTTCCGGGCCCTTGGGGGCGGGCGCGCGGCCGCCCCTTCTCCGCCCGCGCCGCGCTTCGTGTTCCAAACTTAACCGAGGTCCCCGCTGCAGCGCCTCGCAGGTGTCCTGGGAGAGATTTGGCCGAGTATGTAGAACCTGGGGACATCGGCCTGAAACAGCCTGTGGTGCTCATTTTCGCCCTGAGCACCGTGGGACACTGAGGACCGGGAATGAAGTTCATCACTTGCTCAGGGGCCTGGTCTTCCATATTCCCACCAAACCTAGTTTCGTCGTGCGATAATGTGCCACCAGGTTTTGCATTCGTTTCCCAGTATTATAAATGGGAGTTTGTCTTCACTGCCGTGCTGTGTAGCATGCACTTTGAGAGGACCTTTCTGCCAGACTGCCTGCGTTCCAATCTTGGAGCTGCTCTGTGTGACCTGGGGCAGGCTCTTCAG